TTACTTTGTTCTTTTCTGTGTAGTTTGCACAACCAGAGACTCAGACACACGCTGCAGGTTTGAACGTGCCATCACCCGCAGTGTTAATACCATAGGATTTTTAAGCACTAAATGCCATTGTAGAGAGTCTCAAAAGGATATCTAAAAGTCTGTCCTGCATTTTATTAATTCTTAGAAAACCATATATGCATTCATCTAGTAGGAAAGTTCAAGGTCACACCAGGGAAGATGAAACTACCATAAACTGAGTTAAATGTTTGAAAATGCAGTTCCTTCTCTGTGCTCTCTCATCTCTTCAGGGTTGGAGCAGAAGATCTGCCTGAGGAGGTAAATCTGCTTCACAGGTGAGGGAATGGAAAGAAAATAATCTTTAAAGTATAAACACTGAACTTTAAAAATTATGAATACTAAACCAAAACTGCTGTTGTAGCAACTATGATCACTACTTATTTTAAACAACTGAATTATAAATTCCATTTGCAGTCCCTCTCTCCTGCCACACAGTATTTCTTAACACTAAGCATGAGATATTTATTTTGCCTTCTAAGCTTTTTGAAAAGCAGAGGACATTTATTTCCTCTGCAGAAAGACAATGCTTCTTATCCGAAAGAGCAGCAAATTGCATTTGGAGTCTTCCAAATACTAGCTAAGTCAGCACAGCCACAAAGAAAAAAAAAACCCACCAAAAAAAAACCCACCAAAAAAACCAAGCACCCAACAAACCATGTTCTTCCTTTACTTTATCACAGGTCAATTACCACGTAGTACATGGGGAGCTACCAAAAAAACCTGCTATGTTCAGACACTAAAACTTGCATTTTATTTGCCTGCAGCTGCACTGCGCAATGAAGGGAGTGTTAACTCCCCTCCCCAAGACAAAACATGACCTCCCTCCAAAGCAAGAGGTGACTGATTCACTGCTTTTGTTTTGTTCTTTCAGGGTAGCTGTTAGTTATCTTTTGTCCCAAGTGCTATTTCTCTAAAACGCCTTGATTGCAAAGTATTGATTTTCTTTTTTTTTCCTATTCCTTTTCACCCTGGTCTACCAGCACAGATAAGACAGATGTGGCAAAGAGAATAATGAAGCACAGTTTAATGTTTTTCAGGTTCAGATTTCAAATTTGCTCAGCATGGTCCCTACTTTATTTTCTGACATTAAATGTTCAGACATAAAGCTAAAAATAATTTCTGTAGTCTCCAAATTTCTAGCATTTGCTCTATTTCTATTGTCACAGATAAAGGTACTAGCATCATTGTAGGAGCTTAGAACTGGAAAGATCCCAGAATTTAAAATGTGAAGCATGTGGTTTCCTCAGCAACCTGGAAAATGTATTTTGGTGCCTACTGGGTATCAGTAGCGATGCCAATTGTCATGTTAATTTTTCAGATCTTTGTGGCTCATAATCTTCTGTGTCTTTTATTTGATCTCTAATCAGACAGTAAACTTCCATTACTTTCTTCACCTGGATTTTAGAACGACCAGAAGTATACTTTCTAGTTCACCACCTTTAATCAATACAATGATGATACTAATAGTTCATAAAGCAAATTATGCAGCGGGCTGCGTCAATGAATCCAAACAGGGCCCAATAGTAAAGGGTGCACTTTAAATATTTTTTTTTTTTCAACAACAGAAATTGCAGAAATGTAGTATATCACAGTTTTGGGCACCACATCAAACAATGTCTTGTCAGTGTCATCAGAATAGGTGATTACACATCCAGAACAGCCACAAAAATTAAAAAAAACTATGAACAGAAGTCCAAATGCCCAGCATAGCCATATATCATTTGGCTATGGCTACATTACTAGTAGAGATGATCGCTCTAAATTTCAAAAGAAAGTAAAAAAACTTCTCCTAAATGGGTAAGTTATGCAAGTTAATGATTCTTTAATAAATTCTTTTCAACATCTTTATGGTTTCAGCTTTTGTTACAAATTTTCTTTTTACCTAGCATTAAAAAAATATTAAGTGTTCAAAACCTAGTTCATTAGAGTACCCACTTCAAAAATATCCTCAAATCTGAGTATATGCTGAGGGAAGAGTACTTGGTAAAAACTGATTGAATAGTATCTACAATCCAATTCTTAATTTAGTTAAATTCCTTCAACATGCTAACACCTGTATGCCATACCTCCTCATACCTGCAAGCAGCAGTAACATGCTGCTGCTGCTGCTTCAAAATATCCATAGAAAAGTAGTTCTTAACAGTACACAAGAGGAAAAGCTTTTTTTCTTACTACACGTCTTTCATAGTCTTTCACTGGATCCAATTAAAATGGCTAAGTACCATTTAAATCATGTTGATAAACTCAAAACAAGTGTTCAATATCAGATGACTAAGCCAGTAAAAAAAAATAAAAATACTATCTATGACCTCTGAAGGTACTTGAACCTGTACCATCGAGAGCTTTGATTAGAATATACAGATTACAACCTGATCTGTCTGAACACACCAGTTTGTAATCAGAGGGAGGAATAAAAAGACTATTGTGCATGGAGGCAAAATTTTAAAGGCTGCACATTTTTTTAAAATGACAATAAAATTCTGAATTGTCCTGGAAGGTCTGAAAGACAGCACTTGGATAAAGCAGAAAACAGGCTGCACACTTTAATAAGAAGGTGCACTCTAGAAAAGCAAAAAAGAAAATCACAGTTTATGAGCTTTAAGAGAAATACATTTACATGAGAAGAGCTACAAGCTTCTAAAGTTCCAAGCAGAGGGCAGAAATACCTATCTGTACAGTTAAAGGATAGGCGTATGTACCAGATAAAAATGAGACTTCATAATTTTCTCTAGCACCTGAAACAGATTTTAAGCAAGTTCTCATGACTTCCACAGTATATACAGAAAAACTGACCTGTCATTCCTTAGGTATTTTCTCAAGCTCAGCTTTTCTGCGGAAAAATGCTAAAGAGAACAAGAAAATGCAAAGCCAAATCTACAGAAAATCCCAAACTTAGTCTTGGATTCCAGGTCTGGAGAACTAACTAAAAAATTCAGTTAAAGACATCAATCCTAAAACTCTAAAGGACTGATTTTGTGTTCATTTACTATAGGCTATACAAAAAATAAAAAGAAATTCCATATTGCACCACAAGCCTCAGGTAAAAATATTGTCAGCTCTATTGTCCATAAAAGTATTCTAGGTTTGCTAGTCATAGGAACTGAAAAAACAATCTTTGGATTTAAAAATCTCACAATTTAACTGTTCATGTTACAGGAAATTGTTCCAACAACTCCAAGGCTGAAGCAAATTCAAATCTCTGCATGTGATTCTAGTTAGCAGCAGGAAATAGATACTTTTCTACAGGTACCTTGCACTTTTTTTTGTTTAAGAAGCTCAGAGACAGGTTTACAAAACAACTCAAATTGCAGTTTATGATGGTAGTGTTACCCTCTGTTGAGCTACCTAGGACAACAAGACCTCAAAGCCATCTAAAAGCCTGGGCTCTTACTTTCCAATCTGAATAGACCAGGTACTTTTACTTGAAAGCAGCAGCAAACGAACCTCAAAAAATAGGCTAGCCACATGAAGGTGAAACTGTCTTAACATGGTTTACAGTAGTTTCAAGAAAAGAAGTATAAAAAAAAATCAGTAAAAAAGAACCTTTAGGACTGTCTATAAATGAACCAATAGAAGATCATTCTAAAGAGTTGAGCAAATAAGAAAATATGTGAAAAAGTGTAAGAGTAAATGGAAGTAAGACAACCTCACTAACATTCAACATTTTCCCAAATGTCAGATTCCCCACTTCTTGGTTAAACATTCCGCTTGGATCTCAATCAATGTTTGGAGCATGCACGACCAATTTTGAAAACAAAAAGAAAGCACAGAACAAAAATTAGAAATCTGTAAGTGTTTCCAAAAAGATGAATAGTCAAAAAATGAGACCATGAAGACTGGGAATTAGGGCTCTGCTCTAGAACTATTAATGACTGACTTATGGCTAAACTCCATGCCTGAAATTCCATTCCTGAACAATGTTTGCTGTAACAGAACTGAACATGACTTAAAGCCTAATGTTTCATAACTATATACTAGAAGAAAAGGCATTGGCCAGGCATCAGAAATTAATCAATATTCTGAACTATTAAAATCACAAGAATCGCTTAAAAGTCTAGGGAAAAAACCCCAAACAAATCACATTCGCATCTTAATACATCGAATACAAGCTCCAAGAGCAGCTTCTCTAAAGATACAGAGGAAAAAAAGTATTCTGTAAAGGTAAAATTTATTATGATACATGCATTTCTTTCTTTTTACCATGTGTAGCAGCAATTTGGGATATATCGTGTGCAATTTGCAAATGATCATCCATAATGACATTCATTGCCTTAGGACTCAATGCCCTTTGGGAAACCTCTCTAGTTTCTCTGACAGAGTCTATTTTTCCTTATCCAGACCTCCCCCATTTCACTGATAAGGTCTACATTTTCTTATCCAGAAAGATATGCAGGATAGTCTGAACCCTGATTATCCTATCCTAGCAGTTCCAAGAAATATTAAGTATGATAAAACAGCGTTTCTAATGAAAGTTATACGAAGCTCTTCCTGAACTTTTCTCAGTAATTTACAAAGGAATCACCCTAATTGCTTCTACTGCTACAACCCCTCATTCATTTAGTCACATACTGAAGTCGTAGTCACCCAGTGCCCTATGCTTCAAATCAGCGTGACTTTGTTAAGGTGGTGGGTGGGAAAGGATTGATTTTTCAGACGATGTTCCCTCCCACAAATACTTCAGTCATTGTTAATAGCGAAACGTAAGCAGAAGCAGCACATGCAATCACTGAAAGGTAACAACCTCTGCTTTGAATTCTTTCCTTTATTTCTCCGACACTTGAAACTGAAATTAATCATTCACCATCTCCCATTACATTAATGGATGCAATCATTATTCTCCAAAATGTAAATTCTAGTTCAGACTTTTTGACAGACTTGGAAATCAAGATGTATCAGAGATGTGTATCTGACTCAGACCTCTACAATCTTACCTTCTTCTGAAGAACATTAACTTTGCGTTCCTTCACCTCTAACATGTCCTTGAGGTCATGAATCTCTCCTGCTTGAGTCCCCTTCTCCTCTGCCATCTCCTGAATCTGCTTTGTCTTCTTATTTAGCATAGTCTCCTTCTCTTCCAGACGTAATCGTAACGCATCCACCTAGATTCAGACATGCAGAAACAGGGTTTGTTTAGGACTGAAGGAGAGAAATTTCAGAAAAGCTGAACTACATTTCCACAAGGGAGTGAGTGCTGTCAAATTACAAATAGATTCAGAAAACTATCATCCCTTATTTTCAGACTTAAACATACATAAACTTGTGATAAAACAGTTATCACAAGTGGTAGGAGACTAAAAGTAAAAATAATCCAATGTTTTATTCCCAAATTATATGAGACTTATGGTCCTTCTTGGAAAATCTCAAATCATCCTTCTGATATAACTCAGTCTTGTAAGACAAAACTCTGGAATTTCTTTCCTCAAAGTAGAAGCCAACACAATGTGTTCTTGAGTTCTCTCATATGTAGGAAAACCGACCCCTTTATTTGAAACATTACTAATGTTCAAAGATTTAAAATTGACTAACATACCTAACCATCATTTTATATGCTAGGTTTTAATCAGAGTATTAGTTGAGTCAGGAGGTAATGAAAGCAAAGGTCTTTGTGGCCATTGCAGATCAAAACATGGAAAGAGGGTTACCTTAGGATGGCTAAGAATATTCTGGCTTAAATAGCAACATAGTAGTTGAAATGTAACATGTGTTTTCAGTAGGATGCAGTAACATGCGTAATCAGTAGGATTAAAGATAAAATGGAACAAATGACACAATACAGGATACTGTTCGTGCAATTTCGACACATAAACATACTTAGAGCTCCCATGGCCTCAATAAATCTATGGTATCCCCAAACTCCAAAACTGCATGTTGAGAAGATTTTACTTTTCCTTCTGCATTTCTCTTACACAAATGAAACACAGAGCTCACAAGACAAAAGAAACGGGAGAAGGAATCAGAGCTATCTGAATATAAATTTGATGAGAAGAATAAGGTCACCACAGAGCTCAGACTAATCTCAAAGACCATTGTGGAATACAAAATCCAACACCACCAACCTACTCAAGATACCAAAAGAAACCCACTGACCCCTATCCACTCAGCATTCAGACAGAGCTCAAATCTGCCAGCTTGGTTGCTAATCTTATTTGACAGTATCAGATTTGCTTCCTGTTAGCTGAATTCATTAAAGGACATCAGTCTCACAGAGTAAATAGGGTGATCAATGAATGTCTTGGTCCTTCTGCACATCACAGGCTAGCAGAGACACGAAGTGAAAAGGTGACTTGGACAACTCCAGCTAGGTAAAGGATAGGTAGCCCCTATGCTTATGGCATTCTGAGCAACGTTTAGTTTTAACGCATTATTCTAATTTCACTTTATTTCAATTTGCTAATGGAAAAGTTGCCTCTAAGGCTCTACATTTACAGTATGTTATGTCCACAGAATCCTTTGCTGTTTTGTCTGATTCCTTTTACACAGAGCAATAAGCACTTGCCAGCAGGGAAAAGAACTGCCCTGCTCTCCCCATCAGCACTGCAACCCTGCTGCCACCTCTATGTCTGGAGCCTTCTCACTTACACATACGTTATTAAAATCACATTCCTGACCTCTCACCCAGCAAGTGGGGCATGGAGTATATTCCACAGTGATATTAGAGTACCAGGTACTACCCAAATATGATTTATGGGATCGCTAGTGTTTGTAATGAAAAGTTTAGCAGGTAGATCAGGGTTTGTCTTCTTTTTAAAAACATGCAGTTTTATAGATTGATTAGGTATGTTCTTCTCTGGATATCTCTAACATTAAAGCTAAGAGTCACTTTTATTAATTCTTGAAGAGAAACTGAAAATCTCTCTCACAAGAAAATCCACATACTCTCAACAGTGGTGTTGCAAAATATTTGAGACAGTCCAGATGCCTACAGCACAGTATTACGTGAAAAGAGAACATCTGCAAACATAGATTTATCCACAGAATGCTTTCCATTTTCTGATTGATTATTCTCTTTGAACTCTATATTAGCTTACGGTTTGGGGTAAATTGCATTCCTGGTTTTATTTGTGTGAGGTCCCTGCCTAGGAAACCGCAGAAAACACTTTCAAAGGTATTTTCAAAGGCTGGCAGGACACACAATCTTCACCTTAGCACTATTCCTGGCAGAACACTGCACTTGTTTATTCATGTCAGCTCACTTTATGTATGGCATCCTCCCACAGTGACAAGAATTGAGGTCTGTGGAAGTCAGGTGATGCCAACTTCAACAAAGTCAGCTTAAGATTTTCTCTGCACATGGAAACGACTAGGCAAACAGCTACTGAGGTGCTGACGTCCCTTCTCCTGACTTCTGCGTCTTGGATGGTGTTATCTTAACCCTGGGTTAACCTAACTGCTTTCACAGTAATAGACTGCCATGTCTTTAATTATGCATGGCAAGTAAAATCTTACAGTACAGCTCTGGCAACTGCTAGTCCTTTGTATAACAATGGGCTTGCTAACTTGACCTGCATGTACCATCCAATTTCCCATGAAGCTTTAGCAAAAGAAGCACATTTGTTGCCACCTTCAACACAATAGCCTTACTAGCTACAGGTGCAACAGGTACCTATCTTCGCTGGGTACCATACATAAGACTTAAATTTCTTCACTGTAAGAACAATATATGAAAAACTGTGTTGGGAACCATTGACTTGTCCTCACAGAATTTTCCACCAGCAGTAAGTAATACTCTGTGACTCTGTTCCTGATATGTATAGCCATACACTAAGCATGTAGATTTCAAAATTTCTAAGAAAAACTAGTAAATTAGTAGCTTCAGTGAATACCAGAATAAACACAATAAATGACATAAATATTTCATTTAAATTTATTCTGAAGCCTTTTACAAAATCTTGGACTCTGTAATCAGCTTTCAGAATATTCCCAATTTATAGCTTAGGGAAACCACTAAAATGTTCAGAAGTCTACAGTGAGTTTCAGAACTGACTCAGGAACTTGAGTCAATAGGACTTAGGTTGCACACGTGTTTTTTTCCCATTTTTACTATCTTCTCCACTGTACACTAGCAAGTGTAGGGTAGTATGACACTGGTGTCTCCCAGTCAGGTTTAGGAAGATGTCAGTGATGCTTAGAAAAACAGTGCTCTACTCTTTTCCTGAGACTGAGTGATTCTTCCCATCTACCCGACACTTGTTCAAACCATGGCTGAACTATTGATTTAGATCAGTAAACCAAGCCGTACATTCACTTATATCAGAAGGTACAATCTCCCCTACATTATATCCAAGCCCCAATTTCTTTGAAATGGAAAAATTAAAAATTTTTATTCTCTGTTGGTATGATTACATTAACAGCAGCAAAAGGAACATCCTGAAATACGTGTTTAGAGCTTGCTACGGTTTCTAACAAGAGCCAGCTGCTTTTTAAAGTAGATGATGAAGTAATTCTATCTATGTCAGCACTCAGAATACAAAGATAATTGAGAAATTCACAGAGGAAGACATAATCTTATATTTGGTACGTGAGGTGAAAGATGGCTTTTATTCTACTGTGGATACTCCTATGTGAAGGCTCTAAGTACCTGAAATGAGCACATTTTTTAAAAGATCATGTTTTATGACATTCTAATACTATCTTGCAAACATATCACATGAACTCAAAAAAGAGGTAAGATGTTTTCCTGATCGTATAGTCTGTAATTAAGACTTAAAAGCTATGTTTACTGACTGATTTTGAATGCAGTGGTAGTTCACAACACTTAATTCTCTATTTTTGACATTGATCTTTATTATTAATTACGTTAGAGGTGACTCTTCACCTTTTTATACAAACTGCAGCAATCTCCAGTACACTCTGTAGAAGAATTGAGAGTGAATTCTTTATGAACATACAGCTCCCAGTCATCTGGACAACTTTGTCAGATTACGTGACTATGCCATGGAGCAGAGATGCACACACCTGGCTTTGTGCAGAGCATTTTTGGTTCTCGCTAGGGTTATAGACTCAATGCAGGACAGATATACTGTTTCCAGGGTCTGCTCAGGTCAGAAATCAGTTCAACTGTTCCTCCACAATCTCTAGCACAAGGTATCAAATACCTAAAGATGGTGACCTCAGTTCTGTGAGCTGAGCTCCAGGTTTGCAGGTGCCTGTCACCACAGGTCTTCATGTAGCTGGTGTTAACAAGGCTTGTTAAAGACATCCACCTCCCATTTGCACATTGCTCACTATAGGTGATCCACTCCCTAACGGTCTCTGATTTGGGAGAGTCTCCTATAGTTTCAAAACACCAGTACAAGCCTCAATAAAGAGAGGCCCTTAGAGAATTTTATGTTCTACTGCGACATTCAGAGCAAATAAAATACTTCCAGAGGACTGGATTCATTTTTCTACTGAATATTAATCTGAATTTACCATATGGAACAGACCAATTGCAGAACCATGCCAGCTTGGGCAGTATACAAAAATAAAGGGGAATGTTCTCACTGATGAATTTAACCTCCCACCAAAGCCACATACCTTCTGGCACTGACCTAAGCTAAAGGGCTCATTGGGCAAAACACAAACTTTATATGGATGAAGCCTTAACTCCAAAATAAATATTGATTTAATTTTTTTGTTTTGTTTACAAAGAGATCATACATTTTTAGAACTATTTTTAAAGGTTCCTTCACAAATTGAAAAGTTAACCACAATATCCTCTCCACCCAATAACCCTCAAGATAAACACCCCACAACCAGCTCAGAGTTCTTCATACCTCTAGTGTGGCAGATGACAAATCCATTTTTGAGATATTATACCAACAGTTTTGTTTGAGATATTATACCTTCAGTTTTCTTTAACAGAGGACTAAAAGGCAGAGACTTATGAAGGTATTCTCCTTTCTCTCAAAATGGTTATTTAAATATGGCTTTAAAATACGAATCCCCTATGAAGATGTCTGCCAACATATGACAGAAAATGCATCTCTCATTCTCCTCACAACTCTCTCTAGGTGTCTTGAGAGAAGCTAGTTACGTTTTAACATTGACCAGTGCTGTCAACAAGTGAGGCCAGGCAGGATCTTGCATTCGTACCCTATTCACAGTGAAAATTCTTGTATAGAAAGATACTTTTTCCTCAAAAAAACTCAAACCAAATACATCACAGGATGCAATGGCAAACATCTCAACGCTGTATTTTATCAACGTGTTTCAATCTTACACTTGAAAGGGTCACCTGGGAAGACAGAAGAAAGGTAACTGTGTTTGATGATTTAATTGAGCTTTCTGTCATGAACATCAGCAAGGAGGAAAATGATGTGATTATCTTTCAAAAAGTATAAATATCTTCTTGGAATTACACAAAAATTCTCAGGAACATAAATGGATCACTCTAAATATCTGCTCTGATACAATGGAATAGCCTGATATTCAACACCACACACAAAGTGTTAAATCCATACCAATTGCTACATCTTACTGTGGAGAGCATGCTAGACTGTATTTAATCCATTAAATCTATCATAAAAACATTACTCTAAAACAGTGCTATTAATGTTTTAGCTCCACAGCAACTCCTTACCAAAAGACACACAGAAAATCATCTTTCTCTGTTACCGTAGTTGATACGTTTCACTTACGATCCCTGGAAGCAAACTATATGAATAACCTAAAAGCAGTTAAGCAGAAAATCTCTCCCTCTTCCACCCCACCTGCTGCCTTTCAGGCACTCTTTATCAGTAAAAAAGAGTTTGCATGTTTCGGAGGAAGAATTCAATTTGGTTTTGTATTGTGGTGCTATATGAGAATCTCATTTGGAAGAACCCAGTGGAGAACAAATATTCTCAATGATTATTTAGTAATATTACAAGTTAGAGAGTAGAACAATTTTCTATATTAAAAAACTACTTTTGCCTTCAGATAGTTATTTAGCTGAATAACTATCAAGAGTATATCAATGGTATATAACTAAGCCTTTTTGGTTTTAAATATTTTGTTTAAATTCTGTACATTCTATTTGAATAAATCTGTTTATCTAGCCTAACAGCTGAAATGATGACCATCTTCTGAAGCCTTTTAACTTGTTAATAAAATACGTTCTTTCAAGAACTTCATCTCTCATGGGCAGAAAAGAACTGCTTAAAATTAAGACAAAAAATGTGTTTCTAGCTCTGTAGGTTTGTCACAATACTGCACAGTGATTTAATGTATCTATGTTCTTTTCAATCACTGTAATGGATCAAAACCTGCAATTTACATATTAAAATGTTTATTTACCTAATATCTACTTCCAATTATATTTTGAAATGTAAATATTTTTTAAAATAAACACATATGAATCTAGAGTACACTCCTGACTAGCAAAAAAGAATGAACGAATTTAACAAGAAGTTTATCACTGCAAACTAGCACAATTTCACAGTTATAGTGACTGCTGTAATTTCAATTTCTGCTCAAATCTGAGAATAATCAGAAAAGTCATCTTAGCACATCAAAAGATACTTATTACATAACTTGATTTCTGCATGTGGACAAGGCCATGCGCATCCATAGATTCACGGAACATTGCTAAAGGAAAGCTACATGAGGGTAAAAAGTTCAAATAAATTCTCTTACACTCTTGTAATATGGAATCTTTCTACCAGTGTTACCCACAAATTTTCTGCATGCCTATTTCACAGCTTGTTTGGCTTTTTACTTTTTAGCTGTAACAACAGCTGTAACAAATATTTTTTGATGCATGACCGCCATCTTTTGGACTTCTACTAACACTACAATTTTCGAAGCCCGAGGACTGAAACACTGTCTTCACACATTTCGTGCTTGTTCTCCAAGAATATCCAGAAGCAATAAATTTATGCTACACTTATTACCCATTTGATGTTCAGATATACACTCGTGTCTTACATAATATGAGAACTTATCAAGCTTTTTTTTATCAAAACAGTTTTGAAAATATTTTTCCTTTATCTTGGAATATGCATCATAAAGCATGAAAGCCCATATTTCAGGTGTAAGCACAGGCTTAGAAGAGTTCCCATATATGCTGACAGTAGTGGTAGTGAAGCCTCACCGAGTTATATACTACTGGAATGCTCTTCCTTTCTCTGCTCTCTTTTACCTACAACGTCATTGAAAACAAATTCTCCCAGCTCAGGAATTGCAACTTCCAATTTAGCTGTGCCTGGGAAAAATAGTATTAGTGACTGTATGTTAGTGGAGCGTGTTGAACAAGTGTGTATTCGCCCACAGGAATAGGTGTGCACTTATCTACACATATTTGGCTTTACGATCGATCCCCTGGCCTAGAGAACCAAACATATACTCAAAGATACAAGGTGCTCAGAACAAGCAGTATTGAATGGCTATGGGATTGTATAACCTAAGCAAGAAGAAATGAAATAACGCTTTTTATCTTTTTCTCTATGAAAAATCAGTAAGTACAGAATTGTCCATTTCACCTCGGTCTGCAGGATGGCAGCTCTTTGCTCTTTAGCTGTAAGAGACTCTTTCAGAACTTCAATATGCTGCTTGCTGTCAGAGAACTGATTTGTGAGGGTCTCCAGCTTTGTCTGCAAGGCCAGCAATTCAGTGTCTTTGCGTGACAGCTCCTGTTTCACCTGACCGATCTGAAAAAGAAAGAAAAGGTGTGCAAAGGAAAAAATAATTTATACCTTTCCTTACAAAAACAAGTATAAATTCATGTAACTACCAAGAAACAGTATGATACTCTAAACTTATCCCATGAAATTGTGAAGCCTCCAGTTATCTTGAATGGAAGGCCAGGAAAAATTTGTGTCATGAGCAAAAGATACAAGGGAAAAAAAGGGGAAGCAATAGCATCAATTTGTCAAGAGGTTCTTTTTAAGAGAGTCAGTCTGTTCTTAGTCATCTCTCAAATGACTGACCAAAACCAGTTACTTAGCAGGGATAAGTTCTTAATGAAGATGAAGACAGAACTGTAATAAGAAAGTTCCCTTACCCTGTAACATCATAAAAGATGAGATATCTACAGGTCTCTTTCAGAAGCATGATGTTTGCTTTGAAATGTCAAACCAGCGAGTTTCCGTCCATTTCTCCATCTAACAATCCATCCTTGTGCTTACAGAGTATGTAAAGATACCTTTACTTTTCCCACTATTTACAAAACCAGCATGTCAATCTTCTAAGAAATACCTTTTAATTTATGGAAGCTTCTTAAAGGAGATGCAAATATACATCAAACCAACACGAAAACTCCTTATGGAATTGCACTTCATTGAAAGCAATTTCCTAGACTTAATTTAGTGAATTAAATCAGCACGGAAATGCCAATTTATTTTAACAAATGTAGATTGGATTATCATTTAACAAGACAAACAGTAAGAATTGTTAGAAGTAAAGCACTGAAGTGAGAGGAAATCTCATTCTAACTGCAATCATCACCCAGGACAATTTTGATGTAAATCTGAAGAAAAGAGAATTTTTTAGTTAAAGAGGACAGGGAAGTCTAAATGTAGAATTACATCCAAGTTTATAACCAACTTTCTGATTTGCCTCTGATACATCTCACGGAGTAAAATAGCAATATTTTGCTTTTACATATTACATAGGAGAGGTGGACATATCTCTAAAAACTAAACAGTTTTCCCTTTTTTAACTTGAACAATTTTGTTTGTGACATTAAAAAAAAAATCCCTCCATCCCAAAAGTATGTTGTCCAGAGCTTCAAAACAGAAATTAAAGGACATGACAAGCTAAAAAAATTGTCTAGGTCATCCTCCATTTTTGGGAATGAATCAAGAACAAAATTAAATTGATTTAAGCTATAAATATTAGGTTTCTAAATTTTATTTTTAATTAGAATAAATCCATGTGCTAGTAGAAATAACTGAGAGGAAAAGCTTGGGTAAATGTGGTTTTATCTTGAGAACACTGTTTCAACAATGGGCAATTAAAGAAAGAAAACTTTTTACTGAAGAGTATTAAACTAGCATCAAAAGATATCCAAGGACTCCTGTGTTCCAACGTGAAACAGCGTACTACCTGAGGAGATAAGGAAGAAGGGGAATGGAAGAAGGAGGACATGTATCTCAAAAAACCTCACACAAACAATTTTTTTTAATTGGAATTATGGGAAGGAGTATAAGAATTTAATTTCTAGAACCACTCAATAGTTTACTGTTCACTTAATTCAAACATACTAGGTTGTTTTTTTCATATTTTTACTAAAAGCAAGTATGTCTACAGAATGATTTCACCAATTATTTAAACTAAATACAAAAGTATTGATGTTAGCAGCACTATTTCTGCTGTCAGCTACTGGTCAATACAACCAGTTGCACAATATTGCTAGGCACAGCAGAATAGCTGGGTATAGATGAACTATTTACTCCCAGTTATCTTCTCTAAACAAATAAGCCTCCTTAAAAATGTCAGATGACACAAACATTTTCAACTAGTGGGTAGCCTGAATTGTAGCAAAACTTTCTAGTTTGGTCTTTCTTTGAAAAGATAAATTCTTTTTGGGGTCATCTCAGACAAGATGTTTACCCTAAATACTTGTGTTTTGGTGAAATGTTCTCATCTAAACACAACCACATTTCATTACATTAAAACTCCCAAGTAGCACCTTAAAGATCATTCTTTCTAGAAATCCCCATTTCAGAGCTGGAAGCCCACACCGCCAATGTGCTAAAGCTCTTTAGGAAGAACGCAGGGCACACCATTCCAAGTTGCAAGAGAAGTTAAGACAACATTAAGTGCTCACATCTCTCTTCTCAGTGAGACACTATGATCACCCAGCAAATACACTAATTTCAGAGCAAAGGAATAACCTAAATTCATGCTGCTAAAATTAAACAATCAGTTTTAAAAAGCGTTCAGCATCCAGCTTTTGTTATTTTTTGTGAAACAATGTTAAGAGGGTTCAGCACACGTTTTCAAATTATTTTTGTTCTACTAGGGAAAGCAAATCTCTTTGAAAGTCTGGCCCCAAAATGGGTGCTGAATACTTTTGAAAAATTGCTTCAACAGAGAAGAGTAAGTTACTGCTAAAACAGCTCATAACCATTAAAAAAACCAGTAACAAAACAAATACAGATGTTCCATTGAAGAGTGATGTTATGGACACCAAAACCGTGTGAACAAAAAGGCAGCTACAAGGCTGAGCAGGCTGTTAGTTCTACTGTTATATCAGGTTGTAGAGAAGGTAAGAGAAGAAAAGCTATCCCGAAACCCAGAGAGCTAGCAAGCCCCAGTGAATGGCCACTGCACACAAAAGATAAATCTTACTGCAGAGACCTCGGCCTGGAGACCAGCCACTCTTTTTTTCAGGTCCTCCCCTTGAGCCTCTTTGGCACTTAGCTCTTCCTTCAGTTGCTCTACCTGTCACGACATTGTTATGCTTTTAAATATTTATCATTTGTCAGCTTCTAGGTAGCCTGTTTCAATCCAAGTAACTAAAACTGACAAAGAACTGAACAGAAGGATCAACACTGGTCACTCATTTTCTCTTCCATTCTTCATTAAGTCTTCTCAAAAGTTTAATGTCTCTGTAATTTCATATATGCTGCCAGACAAGAATTCAATAGTGAAACACAGATTATGGTGAAGGTTATGTTTATATATGTCAAGTATGGGGCACTACACCCACAGTTTTGAAACTGGAATTCATGAGGAAACTAGAACAGGAAAAGGGACATTTTTTTAGTTTAAGAGAAATTAAGTTACTTGTCAAGACACAGCCACAGACGACTATACAACACAATACTGAAAACCAAATAATATGTAATTACAAAACAAGATAGGACAGCAAGATACCAGGAATGGAGCTGGCTACGAGTCATGAGTGAATAGTTATTAAAAAGGAGCAAACTTTCTGCAGGAAAAGAAATCAGCAGACACAACAGACAGAAGAGATCCAGAAACTAAGTAGCTGAACAGATCTGTAGGCCCATAGAGGGAGAAGGGAAAACTGAAGAGGGAAAAAGGAAAGAAGAAAGAAAGAAGGATGGAAGGAAGAGGTGCTACCACCATCTCTTCGTTCTTAATTTAAAGGCGGTATCTTTCAATTCCTAGAAGCAAGTCAGTGGGATAAAGGGAAAAAGTATAAAAGAACATATGTGGTTATCTCAAGGTAAATCAGTGAGCGGGCATGAGGGAAGTGAAAGAAAAACATGCTTCTTATATATTTCTACTTTAGGTTAAGTAACACTTCTCCAAGAAACCTTCTCCAGCATTCTTTTTTTGACAAATATTTTCAAGCAGGACAAATGAAGTAGGTTACAATTGTTCAGGACCTAGTCAAGTAATTTTCAACCTCTGTTCCAGGAATTTGTACACTGCTTGCAGGGGGTACATAAAAGCTACCTAAGAAAAACAGGACTTCTCACAATATACTTAAATTTACTGTACAACGTGGCCTGAACCTTCATTAGAAAAATGTTAGGGGCCACTAAAAGGCTGAGAAATATTTCTTTGGGAGAAACTAGGAATGAATTGGCTTTTGGCTACAGACAATTCAGTAGTCAGTGTCCATCTTTATACCTGAGGACCAACATGTCTCACTGCTGTATTTGTCCTGTATTCCCAACAAATTAATGTTGGCACCACCACTGTTGTAGAATCTACTCTCCTTCTGACTCCATTACTGGAGGGAGAGTGTAATGGAAAGCTGTTACGGTCACAGTTCACGCTCTTTTCAGCCTTTACAACTACTAGTTACAGTACAACAGTTGCAAAAAGAAACACTCGTTTTTCAATAGACTACATTTGAAAAGACTCTGGACAAAAAAAGCCCACTCTAAAACTGTAATGGATTAGCAATGGCCTAAGATAAACACAAAATTCCTCTGAAATAAAAGAAAGTCAGGTGTGACAGTAAAAGCAGAATTTGGGCCTTTGACCTTATTGATCCACCATTATAATATTTTCAAATTTGAATTTAAAATTCTCTTAAATATTTTTAAGTTATTTTAGTGGCTTCACAGCAGAATACAAATAAATTCTGTTTCTCAGCACTTGAATGGGTGCCCAGACCGTAACTCCTTACTGAAATATGAAAACTTCTCTCATCTGTTTGCTAAGCTCAGTTTATTTTACTACTGCAATTTGTTTTCTCAATACCTTATTTTTCATGAATTTGGAATGACTACGGTACACCTCCATTTGCTTCATTTCCTCTTCACGCTCCTCTGTGCTAAGAGCTCCATTTGACTTCAACATCTGAATCTCCTCTTCCAAATCCCGGAGGCCACGTTCCATGGAAGAAATTTTTGAATCCTGAAAATGATCAGAAGAGACAGTTAGATGATTTGTTAACGTACCACTGGAGTAAAAGAAAAAGGAAATAATTTGTTGGACATATACCTGCCCTTGAAATTTACTCCTGAAGCTCCTACAGAAATCAGTCTACGCCTCTTTACACAGCATCTGCCTGAGCGCTCAAGTACTCATTTTTCAATTTTTTATACCCTTCAAGGAAAGCAAGAGTTTAGTACTGAAAGAAAACATGGCTGGGGCAGGGTCACAGTATATGATGAATAAATAAAGGAACATGAAAAAAGGTTGCCTTGTAATGCAAAGCCAGCTTAACACAGAGAAACTTAATTCTAATTGAATGAACAGCAAAACATGACTGCAAAAAATGGAAAAAAAACCCCTGCAAAGAATGACCAAAAAATGGGTAATTTGTGAGGTCACAAATGGAGAACATAAAAAGCATGATAAGTGAGAGAAAGATGCAACAACCTAGTTTTGAGTGGACAATCTAGTTTTGAGTGGCTAAAGCAGCAGAAGACCCTTCAAGTACTCTGGCTCATATATAAAACATACAAAACATTTCCATGGTTAAAAAATATACATCTGGAAAAATAAAAAAGTCAATCTACCACTATCCTCACAGTTTTACAGGATGATCAGAGGTTTTCAGTCTACTTGGTTTACTGTTTCTTTAGAAGTCTTATGTGTTACGAACAGTAAGAACAGATTCATACAGCACACACAGCTTCAGGCATACTCATGAACATTGATATGTATTTATGAAACGTAATCTCTTAAAACAGTCTATTTTTAAATTTCATTTCCCCAAAATATTTCATCTTTCCTGAAATACAGGCAGGATTTGAAACTATCCTCCATGCTTCTGTAGACAAATCCTTCATAATTTTTTTGTCTAATAATCAAAGCACAGATGAAAAAAAGCATGAAAGATTTTCACATAAAGGTTTTCATTCATGAGATAAGATTTTTCTAAAGAACCATGTGGTGGATTGACCCTGGCTGGAAGCCAGGTGCCCACCAAAGCCGATCTACCACTCTCCCTCCTCAGCTGGACAGGGGAGAGAAAATACAATGACAGGCTCACGAGTTGAGATAAGGACGGGCAGATCACTCACCCATTACCGTCAGAGGCAAAACAGACTCAAGTTGGGGAAATTAATTTAATTTATTACCAATTAAATCAGAGAACAGTAAGGAGAAATAAAACCAAATCTTAAAACACCTTCCCCCACCCCTCATTTCTTCCTGGGGTTAACTTTATTCCCGATTTCTCTACCCCCTCCCCCTGAGTGGTGCAGAGTGACAGGGAATGGCGGTTGCAGTCAGTTCATCACACACTGTTTCTGCCGTTCCTTCCTCCTCAGGGGGAGGACTCTTCACATGGTTCCCCTGCTCCAATGTGGGGTCCCTCTCACAGGAGACAGTCCTCCATGAACTTCTCCAACATGAGTCCTACCCACAGGCTACAGTTCTTCATGAACTGCTCCAGCGTGGGTCTCTCCCACAGGGTGCAGTCCTTCAGGAACCGACTGCATGGTTCCTCCGGGGGTCCCACAAGCCCCGCCAGTAAACCTGCTCCAGTGTGGGCTCCTCTGTCTCCACGGGTCCAAGGTCCTGCCAGAAGCCTGCTCCAGCATGGCCTTCCCACAGGGTCACAGCCTCCTTTGGCCAACCACCTTGCACCAGCGTGGGGTCCTCCATGGGGTGCAGTCCCTCAGGAACAGGCTGCTTCAGCATGGGTCCCCCATGGGGTCCAAAGTCCTGCCAGCAAACCTGCTCCACCCTGTGCTCCTCTCTCCACAGGTCCACAAGTCCTGCCAGGAGCCTGCTCCAGTGTGGGCTTCCCGTGGCGTCGCAGCCTCTTTCGGGCATTCAGCTGCTCCAGCATGGGATCACCCATGGGCTGCAGGTGGATATCTGCTCCACCATGGACCTCCATGAGCTGCAGTGGGACAGCCTGCCTCACCGTGGTCTTCACCACAGGCTACAGGGAAATTGCTGCTCTAGTGCCTGGAGCACCTCCTCCCCCCACTTCTTCGCTGACCTTGGTGCCTGCAGAAACGTTTCTCTCACATAGTCTCACTCCTTTCTCTGGCTGCAATTTCTCCTGGGCAGTAACTTTTTCCCCTTCTTAAATGCCCTATCCCAGAGGCACTACCATTGTCACTGCTGGGCTCAGCCTTGGCCAGCAGTGGGTCCATCTTGGAGCTGGCTGGCACTGGCTCTATCGGACACAGGGGAAGCTTCTGGCAGCTTCTCACAGAAGCCACCCCTGTAGCACCCCCGCTACCAAAGCCTTGGCACACAAACCCATTACAGACCGTTATGAAGATCTAGTCATATCTCCTGCTTAATTTTTGATACTCAAGTTAAAATTGGCAAAGCGGACTTTTGCAACAAAAAATTAGAGAGGTAGTAAGGTGAAGTGATATGTTGTAATTTACAGCAGTATTTTGTTTCAGCGCTCACATCATTTCCCAGAAATATCGGTGTTTCTCTTTTGATAGTCAAGATGGCTTATTGTTACCAGATGGTCAATTAGTTTTCATTACTATGGACCACAAAGATGACTAATAAAAGACAGAAAGTAAATGAAAAGCTCCAGAGTAGAAAGATGGGAAATGACTATACAAAATTGAGATTGAATGGGAAGACTTTGAAGGGGAAAAAAAAAGAAGGAAAATAAAAAGGCACAGATAAGGAAGGGAGAAAGGGAGGATACAAAAATGGAGAGAACAGTTTGCAAAGGTAGTTTCCAATTTTTTAACTGCATTTGTCCAAACCTTGTCTGATGTACTTTACGGACCATACAACATGAAATATGACTGCATAAAGCTGTGTAAACCACACACTCCACCTGTGGCTCCTGAGCTCTTGGCAAATTGCCATTGTTCCATTAGATACTTGAGTTAATGGTTTAAGAATTCAATCACGAATTCATATAGAGAAGATAGGTTTACGATGACATACAGACATCTTTCTAGCTATATGACCCATTCTTTAAGTGGGTTTTGAGTTTGCAAACTGCTAACTTCGTTGACACAGAGAACGCAAAGCAGTTTTTCAAATGTTGATACTATAAAAACAACACACATCATCATCAAAACCTACTAATTCATCATTCCCATCCTTGTAATACAATAGACTCTTTGTTAACTGAAAGAAAGCTGCATATGCTGCTGCAGGCAGACAGAAGGCAGGTGTCTATTGTGTCATGAAGCAGCTGCCTCTTCACTGATCAATAATAAAAAATAAAATAGTAATAGCTAAAAAAATAGTATAAAATAAATATACCTATTTTAAATTAGAAGACTGACAGAACTACACGATATGTGGTAGAGTCACCTCTCATATGAAAACCCATTTTCCAGAGAACAAACTCTACTGCTGCATATATGCAATCATTTACCTTCATCTCAATAACAGTTTGCAGAGCCTTTGTCTTGGCTGTGTCGGGAGCATTTTCAAATCGACGATGGATCTCCTATACCAGCAGAAAAGAAAGCAAGAGTTAGCCTAATGGCATTTTGTCCAACTTATCAAATAAAAACAAAATTACTAGAAGCTTCTCTTTCTAACAGATAGCATAATTCAGTGCTGCTTTCTGATGTTAGCAATGCATACACTTTATTATTTCTCATATCAAAGAAAGGATAGGTGAAACGTCATTCAACAGAATCACAGCCTCAGTTGAAAAGGCACAACAGAAACTGCATCTTTGACTACCTGCTTACTCAAAATAAACTGTTTGCAATGACAGCTGAGTCTACTAAAAAACCCTATCATCTGCCTGCTAAACTCATCTAAACTATTACCTGTTTCTCATGGAAGGCACACACTCAATTTATTTGACTAGATGCTTAATGAAAACAATAATGCTGTCATTTGTGTTTCAACAGGCTATAGGGTGCAGCTGCATTGATTCTTCTTCCAACTTTTTTACCCTAGAGTACCAACGTTTAATTATGCATGATGAAAATATTTCTCCACTGGGCCTCGATCGTAGCTGAAAGTACATGACTGGATAGCACACTGCTCTAGAAGCTCAGAATACACAGACAGAAGGACACAAAAGTCCATGTGATATTTCTGTTGCTGTGAATTCACAGAACTAGCATGCTTCAGATGCCAAGGAATAAAATGATAGAAAGCTGAAACAAGTTGTTCTACTGTGTAAAGTAGTTGGGGGTTTCAAAGCAAAAAGTGGGAACCCAGGAGAAACAATATAGTAACTATTGCATTTTTTCATTATTTGTCTTAAAATAGTACTGTCCTTATGCCACACACTAATGCTAGATGTAGGAACGTGAATACTACTAGAATGTTATTATTATATGGCATAAAATTAATTTGGTGCCCATAGAGTATGAACTGTGACATCAGTTAACCTAACAACAAATTGTGTACGTGCACACACACAGAGCTTAGCCACATACTCCCCTCAAATACCTAAAAGACAAATCCAAAAAGCCATCCACAAATGGCTTTTCAACACATATGGTGAAGAGATAACATTTTGTATGGTAGTCATACATGCAACTTGCTCCATATGATTATTTGAATGAGAAAGGTAGGGTCGTATAGTGCTTTTCAAAATACTGAAAACACTACTTATCTTGTAAGATTGTTAAGTGTTCTTACATAGCTGTGAAGTGAGCAAGATAGAAATGTGTAGTGATAGACGAGGGCTGCAAGAAGAATTTTGCGTAAGTTTGGCACAAGGCCATTTACATAAATTGATGCCTGTGCACGGTAACAACAAGAAAATCCAGTAGAAGGTTTGTCTGTCTTTAAATACCATACTTGTACATTTCCTGAGAAGCTATTTTTACAAGTATGATCACAGTGTAGGGTGGTATTTTCTGAAAAAAAAAAAAAACAACCAAAAAAAAACCAACCCAAAAAACCAACAAACAAACAAACAATAAACCAAAACAAAAAAAACGCACCCTCCTGAAAAAATAAACCAGAAAACTTCTAAATACATTTGTTTCTCCCATAGTCAACAGATAACTTGTCTGCTTTTTACATTGCACAGCATTTTCCCAAATAGAAAATTCTTCTAAGAAATGCCTGTATCTCCACTGTCTGAAGTGACGCTTTGTACTTCAGCAAAGGAAATGTCCTACTTCTATCATCTTAAGTAATTCCACTGTGATTTGGATGACATAACCGGCTGAAAAACAACACCTCCCACCTCTCGACTGCATCGTAAGTAAAGACTTAATTTTGGCAACATGCCTACAATTCTAAAAAGCCTGAAAACGGGGCCATAGGCAGGCTGAACCTCCTAGAACGCAGATTTAAGTGTGGCTGCTGAAGGAAGGTTGTGCATAGATACCCTTCATAATACAGTTTACATACTTATCTTTCAGTGGCAGAATGGAGAAATATTAATATATTACTATTTTTCATCTTCAAAACAGGACTTTGCACAGTAATTAAAAGCATAGGGCCACACACAGATATCAGGATCAGGAAAATACAAAACTAATCCTTCATTCCTTGCAAGATATCAGTTCTAATAAAGTAATAAAGCTTAATTCTTTTGTTCTACTTTCATACAGAAAGAACTTTCACATGTAACTGATATTGTTCCATAACAGACTAGTAAACTTCAACATCTTCTTACTTTCGAATGCAACTTAAATTATTATAACAAAACATATATATGAGCCAGCCCTTATGTTTTTAATGTCTTTATATGTTCAATAATGCCTTAATTTTAAAAAAGATAACAAAAAGGGAAAAAAAGCGATTTGTTCCCAAGTTCTGTGCAACATCCATGCTTTCACTGTTAAGTATTATTACTTTAAAAATATGCACCATATTTCTTTTTCAGTTTAGCCAGTGGGAACTTTGAGCCACCAGATATCATCACAACATTCACAAGAGTATTGAAGAATTATCCAATTTCTATTCCAAGTTTTATGTTTAATTCCCCATTATCACAAGTTAGCAGAATTTCTACATAAAGAAGAAAAACTTTACGTGGAGGGACACCTTATTACCTGTTTGGCAATAGCGCTACCACTACATGGATACCATGTCCACTTCGTATGTCAACAATTTTAAAACAATATTGATATATTGAAGAAAGTTCAAAGAATGACTGTAGAAGCATAATTTGCCTTTAGAAAAAAAAAAAAAAAAAAACAAACCAAAAAGTTATTGTGCAAATTGATCACAACTTTAAAGGACCTTCACAGGCAACCAAAACTCAAAATGGGTTGTTATGTCCAAAATTCATTAAGATTCAACAACCAGAAACTGAAGGCTAGAAATACTCGTAAGTTTTAAGCAGTGTGGCCACCTTAACCAGAGTTGGGGTTGGTACTTCACTACTACCAGTTTTTCATTACGAATAGCTATTTTCCGTTAAAAAAATAAAAATCTACATCAAAATAGATGGAAACTAAAGGTGTGCATCATACTACCCTTACATCTGCCAAGTAAGTCTGCGAGGTGCACAGTACCCCTATTGGAAACAAGAAACAATACTGTAATTTTCTGGTCAGCATAATTACATAGAACAGCTCACCTAATGCACTAAGAACATCGAATATGTAAAGAATAGCAGTGATAAAGTGATTTTAATGCACCATAAAGAATGAAAAACTTTGTGGTTTATTTCTTGACCAAGGAATGCCAAAATAATTGAAGTCAGAGAATATAATTTAGAATTGAAGGAGTCCTCAATACTGAGCAGTATCAGCGCTACATCTTTAAAACATTAACAAGTTACACACATGCGCATAATAGCGAAGGAAGGAATTTAATCCGATCCTTTTCTTCCTTCATGACCTGCCCATGTCATTCGTTGTTATTCCCTCAGTTATTCCTGCCTCTGATTTCGCATGGAGTCTGGAAGAGATGTGAAGGCACACTTTTAAGCAATGACAATTTTATAATGGAGTAGGCTGTATGCTTAAAAATGCAGCAACTTATCTTTCAGTAGCACCACAAGATAAGTACTTTCCAAAGCAAAAAAGGACATGCCTTCCACTTCCTGCAGAACCTACATAATCAGACAGCAAGTATCTCATAATGAGTAAGAAAAATATGCTTTTCCATACAATGAATTTGTTTTTAAAAAAATTGACAAAAAAATGATGTGCAATTAAAAGCACTACTGTAATTCTGCCTTTTTTTATCTTAACTGGCCTACCCATGTCTTTATATGATCAAATACGAAGTTCTGTGCAGGACCTTTGCATCATTCAGTGGACTGTGTAGTTTTAGTTAACTAAAAAATACTTGGTTTTATTCTCCAACTTTTAGTCCAGGCCTTACTGTCATTCTTTTATAAAGTAACATATAAGACATTCCAAACTACAATGGTATTTAAAAAACCAAAATGTATATAGAACATATCGTGCATGCTCTCAAGTTGCAATAGCCCAATTTCTCAAATATGGTTCAACAGAAGCTCTACATGTTTTAAAACTATTTCCAGACAAATCAAGTGATTCTAATAAAGATATAACTATTTAAATTATCTTGATTTAAATAACTTCTCCCTGCTGTCCTCTTCTGAAAGCTCAAAAGAATGAAGCAGCATCAGAAAAGGCAGAAACTTAATTTTTTTAAACGCATCAGAAAGATGTCCCCTAGTACACTGGTAGTAAGAGTTCCAGTTACTGAATCAATCTACTTCAGGAAACCCAAAAATTGTCTCTAAAAGTGTGCCTTATTTATGTTGCAAAATCTTGGAACAGGACAAAAGTGTCCTTTGAGATAGCTCTAATTGCTCCTATGAAAATTTCTAAATCCTTCTCTGAGCCTGGAGCAGAAAAGGGTAAGAATTTTAACACACTCATGGAAAGAGAACTTCTCTGCAGAACTTGTCACAGTTAATTAAAATCTGTTCAGATAAGGCAAACAACCTTTCTCTTCACTGGGCATTGTTCAGCAGTGCTTCGATGGTACATCTATCTGGCACATCCATCCTTTCTCAGTAAGCTCCTTGCTGCTGCTCTTTGGCCATCACAGTATCAAGTTCGATAATCTAAAGCTAAGTCAAGCACACGTATGTTAGAACCTAGTGCGCCTGCTTGCTGCTGTGACAGACATCTACCGTGAGTGGAGAGATAATAAAGAGTGCTCACAGAAATTTAGCGTTACTGCCTAGAATAAAGTGAGCACTGTTCAATTCAAAATAGCTACAAACAGGGATTAGTTCTTGTAATAAGGCCATACTAGATAACTGTAATACAGTTCACAAACAGGACTTTGTGCAGCTGCCATTTCAACAAACACTACTGAAGATGAAAAGAAATAATAGCTTTTTCTGCCATAGCCTCTTTCCTTAAGTTCATTGTAAATGACTGCCCTTATGAATGACCCATTTCAGGGACTGCTTTACGTACAAAACCACCCTTTATTTGTTAAGCACTACACGCCTAACTCCTTAATTCAGTTTTGCACTCGGTTGTATTAAAAATCCACCTTGTTTGAACGGGCCCAATTATTTAAAAAAGAAAATAATCAAAACTGTAATTTACTACCAAACAGTTTTTATGACACAAAGTGCAAAGCTACTGTTGGTTTCCTTGTTGCACTACTGTAACATGCAAACCTTGAACCTAGACCTGACTCCCAAAGAAACCTTCTAGATAAAGAGCTTGCTTTCTGTTTCCGAATAAAAGGCTGTGGTCGGCCTTCTGTCCCAGAACTGGATTCACAGTTCAGAGAATAACTGTCTAGTTTTTGTCTGCCAAATCAAACAGCTGTTTCATTCTTTATGATGAACTATGTTGCCATTCTATTACACTGATATTTCAATGAACACCTCACTTCACCTGCTTAGCCTCAAAGTCTGAGCCAACCACTCCCTTTTCCCAGGAGAATGTTATAGCTACAAGATCAGCGTGACTTAAAGGGAGACTTGGTTTTGGCCTCTTGTTGAAGGTATTGACAATAGCCACATACAGCCAGTCACAAGTCACTTGCAGGACTTGCATATCCTTCATCATAAATATGTGGTAAATCTGTTATGAAGGAAGAAGAACTAGCACTATGCACAAGTTCTACTGCATCTTTTCAGGAAAAAAACAACGATTAGGGCCATGTAAATTATCAGGACTCTGATATATGTTATACAAGGCATGATGTGACTGACAGTTTCATAAGATGTATGGTGTACACACCAATAAGCACAACGGCCAATGAAAAGAAGACATCAAAGACATTTGAGGCATCAAAGGATATCCCTACTGGAGCAGGAGAAATGCAGTGATATGTCAGTATATCTTGGAGACTCCAGTTACTGTATGCCATAGCACTGCTGTGAACAAAAATGTATTTGGCTTGCAGACTGTGTATGTCCAGTAGTAACCCAGAGACAAACAGGTCATGAGATCAACTACTGTTGTAGAGTCTGTGCTAATACCCGTTGTGAAGGAGTAAGAAAATCAGACAACACTGCCAGAGCTGTTTGGCAAATATTTTACAACAATATATAATGAGCAGCAGCTTTTTGTTCCCTTTGGGTGGAACCAATACAGACAGTTTTGGTTTTATCGGATCTTCTAGTCAAATGAGAAATTTGGCCTAAACTTTTTTTCTCCAGAAACTCTCAAGAAGTTTCCTATTTATTGACTGTGATGCTAGAAGCGTATGATTTCAGTTCTTTCTTCAGATATATATTCTTAAAGAGAGAGAGTGCAATGAAATTTTAAAAAAAGAGAGGTTTAACCAAGTTGGTACAAAGATGTTGGGCTGTCCTTACAAATCATAGTTTGACCAAAGTACTCCAAGTGTCTAGAACACCAGATGTGGATATAATCACATCATATTCTGCCAAGAGCTGCACTGATATTTGGTGTATCTATTGCTCTGCGGAGCTGAGAAAAACATACTTCTACTCAGTACATCTAGGAGTTGGCAGGGGGAGGAGAGCAAGGAGGTTGTCAAAGAGAGCACAACAAGCTTCGTTATCTTTAGAGCTATGTGCTGTCACTGCCATCAATGATAATTCTGCAACAGGTGAGTCTGGAACAATGAGGCAGTTAATGTAACTTGGGAGCTATTCTGGAAGCTGTAGTCCAGCTGCTGGATTTCATCAAGTATTTCTTGCTGGTATGATAATAATCTTGTTTCTGAAAGTTAAGTCCAGAATACCAACAATAATATGAATAATTTTCACTATGACTTAAGAAGGGGTATTCAAAATAGCAGCCATCTTTTTATAAGCTATGAAGCTTAGGCTTGTTTTCTAGGGTACAGGAATGTGATGGAGCCACACTGTTATCTGCTGAAGTCAGGGCATCCAGATCCATGACTGTGTTCAGATGTTCAATGAGACATCTAATTTTCCATTATTTTGTGCTAATGAGAGACTGTCCTCTGTATCAGTGAGTTGCCAAATACATCTTATGCTAGATACAGGATCTTCCCTATGGACCTGTATGGAGAGATTGCTTGAGTTTCCCAGAACTCAGGGCATTTGCAAAAAGCCCTAGAGAGTCAAACTGCTTGTAGAGATACCTCTCACTATCTGCAGGAGATTCCATTTCACAGCCTGGATATGGGAGACTGAGACAGTACACTGGGAGATGATCAAAGATATGCAATATGTTCTATATGAGGAAGAATTAAGTAGTGTTGGACTTTTCAGCCTGGAAAAAGAGAGAATGTGGAAGGGATGTGACAAATCTAAAACTGTGAGTGACACAGAGCCTCAGTAATCACCAATGGGTAACTGTTCAACAGTGACACAGTGACAGTGAACGCACTGTGTCTTCCAGTGTAAAACCAAGAGGCTGTCAATGAAGCTACTAGGAGATAGGTTCAAACTCAAAAGAAACGAGGCAGGTTCTTCCCACAACAGAGAGTAGGCTTGTAGGACCACTTACCAAATGATGCTACACCTGTAAAACTTTACACAGGCTTAAGAAGACACTGACCATATACTCTGATGGCAGATCCATGGAGGATACTAAACTGACAAGTCACAAAAAGTTTAAGAAAACCCTCATCTGTAAATAGTTGGGAAGATGGGACAACATGACAGAGAAGTATCATGTTTACCTTGTTCTTACCCTTTCCTGGGTGTCTGCATATGGCCATTATGTAAAACAGAATTCTGGACTAAAGGGATCACTGGCCTGAACTAGTACAGCTATTCCTTGGTTATGATCTTAACAGAACCACAAATCTGGGCTCTCTAAGAATTTCCTTTCCTCAGGAAATTAGTGCAAACTTTAGTACAGTCACAGTAATAGCAAAAGCTGAGGGAATCAATGAATTCATATTTATTTTTCAAGTTGAGACTGCTGGCCACTGCACCTGCACTGTCTGTATGAGAAGCCATCTATGACCTTGAGTCTCAACATCACGCTTTGATTTACATGTAGGCTCCAAAGTTGAAAAATGGCAGGAAAAGCACACTTTTTGCTTCAAGATGCAGATCTTTTTTATGATTCCCAGCAAAGATTTTTACCAGAAGTCTAACACAGTTGTAAAGTCAGAAACAGTACTGATGGATTCTGACATCTCAGAACTTGCTTTAGTTAAGATGGTCAAAACTGCTATTAAAGTTTTCCTCAGCTTTTCTAATATGTTAGAACATGAAGTATAAATGCTGACCTCCAAGGAAATGCAAATCCCTTTGAGATACTAATGCTTCCTTAAGTCAGCAAGTCATCTCTACCTTCCCCAGGAAATCTTTTACCGTAAAGGCTAGGATTTAAATGATTGGTGATTTCCAGAGATGCGTGAATGAAATGAGAATTCTTATCTCTCAGCATCTACTCATCAGTAGCAGAAACAAACGTAACTGCATTCCTAAAAAATTACACGCTCCTGCCAGCTTTTCATTTATGTTGCTGGACTTAAAGCAGAAACAAATGGAAGCCATTTGGAGCTCTTCCTGAAATAGATACAAGAATTGGAACAGAATTATCATTGGTTGCTAAATAAAGGAAAAACTGTAGTGTAGAAACTCTGGAATCATATTATCTTCACTCCAGACACTCAAGAGATTACTGCTCTAAAAAAATAAATCTGGCCTAAATCTGGCTCAGAAATGCAATGGGCTCCAGCTTTCTTATATAAATGTTTGCAAGAGCACAAGTACAATGGGTCAGGCATGGAAAACATATGAATAAGAGGTATTAGGAAGTATTTATTTGCTGCAAATACTCATCTCAAAAACCTCTGTGCCAGACCTTGCTTCCCTGGCTTCTTAGAGAGGGGCTTAAATCTTGTGTATCTGTCAGGTTTTCAAAAAAATGCTGAACCACAAAATAAACATACAGTGCCCAAAACAGGTCATTAGATTCACAGACACATATTACACCTACACGTATAGCTATCAATTCACGCATTCAGTCTACAGTTGTATGTAAAATAATCTTTACAGAAATTCTTATCATTAGTGAATACACGTATATATGTACACACCTGTGTTATGTACACAACACATGCTGAATTACCAGCCCCTGAGACTTTAAAATTAGAATACTTTAGGAGGCTAGCTGACAAGATAAAAATGCATTTAACAATACCAAAAATTTAATGACCCTGGCTACACAACTCACTTATTTTCCTTTATTTTTTCTAAAATACTTATATGTAGCCTGTGTTCTATTATAATTAGTTTAGAACAATTAACACTGAAGAATGCCTACCACTGTACTCCTCTAAGAGGCAATATAGATATAACAATGTTTTTTCTTTTCTGTTTTCAGAGGGATGGGGGAAAGGGGTTACTATGTGTGCAGCAGTGTCCCTTTAAGTAATCTTTTTTTTGGCTGTGCATCCAGGGCAGCTAATAGTTTTATCAAATACCCTTCACAGCAAGACGACTGTTTCCATGGAAACTGTAGAGCAATCATCCATTACTCCTGCAAAGATTCCTCTCAGCTCTCTCCTAAATACAGGTAGCTACTTTCTCTCAACCTAAAATAGAACGGAAGAATGAATTTCACATTCTCTGTGACAATCCACCTGCAGAGCTTCATATGGAGACTACAGGAAAAGTGGGGCCTAAAGCACAAAACCCCAAAAAGCACATGCAAAGGAGCCACAAAGAACAGGGACAAATTCTGTCAAGTCTGCAATGTAAAATAAAGCTTATAGAGAGGGTGAAAGATTCTTTCCTTATAGCTGTGAAATGGAGAGGAGACAGGGAAGAGCTTAAGATTGGAGATGAACCCCGAGCTTGGTCACTTACCTCTCTCAGCATGTTGTTTTCTTTCTCCTTCTGTTCTAGAAGACTCTCCAAGTGGTGCACATGCATCTCTGCCTCGGCCAACCGTCTTGTTCGCTCGTGGTCTTCCTCAGTGGCTTTTGCTGACAGACCTTTACTCTGCAGCATCTCCAGAAGCTTTTTGATGGACTCATCACGTGCATTTAAGGTCTGTTTCTGCGTCTCAATACGCAGTTCCATCTCTTCTAAGGTTTTACGTAGTAGGAAGAGTTCCTTGGCCTGGCGTTCGTGCTCTGCATGAAGTCGTTGGAAGTTTTCTTCTGTCAGCTCTGCCACAAAGGGCTCACTGGTTCTAGTGCTGCTGTCCTGCTGGAACAGCTGGTTCAGGTCCCGCTGGATCCGAAGCTCATCTTGGAGAGCCTGGATAGTCATCTGCATATGCTAAAAGAATAAATAAATAAAATCAGAGGATTCTCTCCACTGGAGAAATAAAGAGAACAGTATGAGCCACGTCAGTCATCCTGAACTACCAGCCAAGAGGAAACTGCAACACCGACAGATCAACGTTGTTTTTTGAAAGCAGAACTGAAGTGGAACTGAGTTATACTACAGAAATTTCAAGTCCCTCCTTCTATGCATAGTAAAGGTTGCTTAACACTAGAAGCTTCTTACTCAGATGACTCTCCCACTTCCACCAACTCGTGTGAGTCACTGTTCCAAATGGGAAAATATCAGTAGGCATTTGTCAGTAAGCTGAGAGCTTACAATTTTTTTTCCCTAGTGTTTGCCTAACCTATAGAAGAATTCTGCACAAGTTCTAGACCAGAATTACTATCTTGACAAAGCAAAAGGACACATGACTATTAGAATTTACATACCATCTAATAAAATGTAATCAGCCATGAAGGCTCCCAATGTCTCCAGTACTAACACTACACATAGCACAGATTTCCCAGTTGACTTACAGAAGAAACTTCAGTGTGTCAGGAAGAACTACTTTAGAAAAATGGATATATGCCAATATATGGAGAGAAGGCTCACATCATACCGTTTTATGCATGAGGGTTTTAGTACAGAACAGAAATTACCACTTTAGAAAGAGTAATGTGAAGTCAATCAAATGAGCGGTAGTAATTTGTGGTTGTGCAAGACAATAAATTCTGTCTCAATGACTGTGAATACAGTAAGTTAATATAGTGGGATAACATAGCAGAAGCACAGTTTGCCTAGAAAAAAGTCCTCACTTCATATTTAGATAAACATTTTTTTCCTTCTCTGCAAGACAGAAGTATAAGACAATAATGGAGAAGTACTAACACAGTGAACAAAGACCTGATTACCAGGGATAAGAAACACACTTAGTGACACATCTCTTCTCCCTTAAGAGTGTCAGACATGCTTACAATTTAGTCTGAAAGTGAACAAGTCAGAAGGACTGATCCCTGGGGTCTACCTTTATACTACAAAAATCAGTATCTGCAAAACACCTACTTCCAGTATTCACCAGGACTAAAGTACTAGCTAATTAGTATTAGTTACAAACTATTATCAAGCTTGATGCAAGAGACACACTGTTAAGGTCTATGATGTAAAGATGGTGCCAAATTAGTATGTTTGACATAAATCCAAGTACCTAATTTCATTCAAATATTTGTGAAAAGAGAAGATGTAAAAAGATTTGGGTTTAAGTATTACTTCAAGAATTTATTTATGACAATTCTTATGTAAAATTATTTGGAAATATTCAAAAGCTCTCTGGAAATGGTCCTGGGCAACCAGCTCTAGGTGGCCCTGCTTGAGCACAGGGGTTGGACCAGCTGACCTACAGAGGTCCCTTCCAACTTCAACCATCCTCTGATTCTATGAAAAGACAACAGATAGAAGATAGTATTTGCAGCCCAGTTACCTACCTTTAACCTGTTACAGGAACATTAAGGCTTAGTTTGGTTGTACAGAATGGTGCATAAACGCAGTCCAATCCCAATCCCTTCACAAAGGTCAGTACTTTAGACAGAGTGCTTCCCCTCCTTTTGTGTTCTGGCCCAAGATGAGCTTTTCAAAATAAAGGTGCTGTTTCACAATCAGTTCACCTAAGTCCACACTGCCACTAGAAGTAACAGTCCTGATCTCTGTCTTTCCTTAGGTGGCTGTCACTGACAACTGGATCAAAACTTCACCTGTCTGAACACCAGCCCCATCAAAACCAAACAAAGCATCTTTTCAGCCAGATCTCTGATCCAGGTGATGGTGTGACCACACCAATGCTGATTCTGGTGCAAAGTAGGGAAGTGTAGTGCAGTCAAGGAGGTGGTGTAGAAGAAAATGGAGCCCCCTTTTACAATATCAGTATAAACTGGAATCAGCTTAAATGTGTAGCTTCATGATTGATTTAAGATGCTCTAATTGTCTTTTCTTCTGTTTCAGTAACACAATACTTGGCAGCTACTAATTCTATTAATAAAAACCTACCCTTTAGGTTATAGAATCTGTGTGGTAACAGCACAGGTATATTAGGTGAGGGAATAATTAACTTCTCTGTTCTAAACAGTACATTGTGTTTATATAGTGGTGGATGATCAGATTTATTTCCAAGTCAGCATTTACCAGTATAAGAGAAGAAAAGAAGTATCTCAAGGGAATAAATATGGATTTTGAAAATTTTTAGAAATCACTTTTTTTTTTTTTTAACAAAAGATTTAAATTTTAATTTATTGCCATTTCGCCAAACCACAGTCAAAGTGAGAACGCCAGACAACCTCCAAGCCTTAAAACTGAGGCATTATCACGAACATGCCAGCATGCAGGTAGGCAATCAAAACTACCACATCTGTTCTATTAATATATGTTGACCAAGCTGTAAGAGAAAACCTACCACACTTGTGAAAAGGTTTGCCTCATCTGTACCTATACAACAGCAATAAAGTCAGTAGGACTACAACACCAGTAGTGAGAGAATATCCTTAAATTTTGTTAAACTTAAGCAATAACCTTACTAGATACAACTTTAGAATTCCACACATGAGTTAATTCCGTTTGTATTTGAGAAGCCCTACTTATCCACAGCCCAGCTGTGTGTTGTTCCTCCAGCTAACAAACAAATTCCCACATGCTTCCACCTGCCTCTCCATATACTGCCGCTTCAGCATTTCCTTTCTCCCAGGCAAGAAAAAAGCTTCTTCTGAACAATCACATCATCTACTAAATCAATTTACTTCCTCTACTCAGTGTTGTCTCAGAATCAAACTTGGGTTATTTATAAACATCAATGGACTAAATCACCACAACCAAACTCCCACAGTTTTATCATTTGATCTGCTGTGAAATCTCATTTCAGGTTACGTAGGGAAAAGCTGTGTCTCAGACATAGAGAAGTTATCCCCTCCAAAGCCGGAAAAGCCTCCATGCAACATTTGGGTCAAAGAATCAAAATCTATTACATGATTCAGAAACACGATGTGAAAAAAAAATTTAGTGCCGGTGATAAATTTTTACTGGTATCCATCAGTCTGTTAAGTTAGGCCAAGAGAGTTTACAACACCCAACATAAATGGTCAACAACTGCCTTGAATTCAGTTTCCAGGAAAAATGAAGAGGTGGGGAGAGAGGAAGAGTTAGCATCAAGCTTATGAAGCACTATTACTGTTCTCTGAACTGCTCAACTGAGAACAAACTTCATTATGTGCAAGGTAACTGGAAAATACACCACTGAAAATTATTCTATGCTTTTGGCACGCACTCCTTTCCAATATGCAAGATGTATGCAAAATGGGTTATTTCCTCTGCTTTCCAAAAATTTTTTATGATTTTTAGAACAATGGAACAATACCTTTTCTTAGTTGGCATCATAAATACACTACTTTTTCAGTTAACATAGCTCATCTAATGTATCATTTCAAAGAAACCACCCTTTTCCTTCTGAAGGAGCAGGCAAGTCTTACTAGCTTCTCATCCATTTCTTAGACTTCACTTTTAAATCAGTGACCATCCCAGAAAGGCAAAATATTTTCCAAGTTCACGCAATACTAGCCACTGATGCTTAATCCTATTTCTATGACCTGACTAGAGACCTCAATCAAACTTGAAAAATACTATTGAAATTGTCTTATCTAAACAAGTAAAAATACTTTTAATACCACTGAGCATGATGTCATACTCTACTGAATAAGTACCAACCATGCTTTTCTTAAATAGTTTAATAAAGGTAACATAATTAAAGGCAAAGCAATTACGTTGAACCTGTACTTTGCTTGAAGCTTATAGCCCTTATTTCAGACCTTGAGGATTCCCTGTTTTTTCTAAGTAATGAAAATTGGCCTTTAAGCCTCACTACAAACTATATCTACACCTGCAAATCACAAAGTTATTTTGGTGAGCACAGTTCTCTTGCAAGTCTCTTGCTGGTTACGGTTATGCCCCACGTACTTTTCTCTTGACAGAGCTAAGCACCTTCAGGCCCACCTCAAATGTAAATGCTAAAAGGGCAAGGTGCAAACATAACCTCTTACCAGGTGTTCCTCTGCTTGCAGTTCCATGGGGCAACTTAAAGTTTGTTAACTGGGCTCTATGCAGGGACAGAGTTTGCCTTTCATCCAGCAGCACAAAATCTACATCTGTATGTAGCAGAACATGATTCAATCTTTGCCTCCACCCAACAGGATTCAAATTCACATTTCCCACACCTTGGCAGATTGGTTAGATGAGTTTCTAACCTACAGTATGACTACAGCCAATGATACGGAAGTTCCTTATATTTGGTTCACAAAGTAGTCCTGTTGTTGCAGTCTCGGGATAATGCAACATACCTATTTCTATACTGGTGAGTCTGGGAACCTTGCTGCAGGCAGCTCTTTTCATGTCTCCCCGTTGAAGCTTTTCTGTTTTGCATGAAATATTTAAAGGTTCAGTAGGCCTGACAGAAAATACCAAAGAGAGCACAGCTTCTTACTCTAATTGGTAGAACACATAAGAGCAGAAAGACCTCAATAGTAATACTTCCAATTAACTTAGATGTTTATCATCTTACCATTCCAAATGAAGTGGATAATGTGCATTTTAACATACTTAGACACAAAAAGGAATCTAATTGATACTCTACAGCCAAGACCTGTATTCTAACCCTACATTTTAGATCAAAAGGAGGCAGCCGTTGCTACTAGCATGACTTTGAGAGAAAGCTCAAATTTCTTTGAGAGAAATTAAATTGTGACTTTTTAAAAAAGGATTTCCACAGTCATTTTTGCAAGGCAGAGCTTGACCTACCAGACTGAGGTATCTAAGAACCCAATATGCATTTGTCCATTTGTTTCTGGTTGCCTGATTTAGGCTATTCACACTGCAGATATTGTCTTTGTAACCACTGTAGTCAGATACATAACTCATCCCATACTTTATTCAAGAAGTCTAAATGCCTAAATCAAAACTAAAGTTCTACAACAGAGGCA